CAGTAAAGAACAAGAGTCCAAGTACCAGGAGACTCATCCAAATTTACGGAAGTTGGAAAACTCAGGTATGCTTGATCTTGTTTGGTTATCTGCATTTGATAGAACTTGAACATTGTCGCTGTTGTTTTGGCCAGCAGAGCTCTACGTACAAGGCCTCCTGTGTTTATTAATCAGAAAAATAACCTTGCTTAATTTGGAGTGGAATGTAAGCTAGTCTCATACGAGATAAGCCCTTGAATATGAGTTCGTTTTTTTAAAAGGGATGTCCTTGAACTTTAAGATGGGTATCTACAGAACTGTCTGTCAGGGTTCCAAATAGCATCCTCAAATAAATAACCTTCCGAGGCCAGAAATCCCTCAAAGTTACAATTTATTAAAAGAGCCACGTTGGCACATCTGGGAAAACCCAAATCTGAAGCTTCCAGGTTTTCCCTACCCAATTGAAAGTTCAAGACCCTTCCCCAACACCCACAAGTCCATCCCATGGTCCGATCAGTCATTGCCATGAAGGAAGATTCCTCCCGCCCACATCCGTCCAGGTGCAGGGACAGAAGCGACCTTGACTTTCTGAGAAGAAATGTTATTTTGACTACATATCTCTCATGCTCCATACAATCCCCCCCCTCCCAGTTTCCCACAGTCGAATATGTTTGACTATGTGGCAGGCTTGAGGCCCTATGCAAAAGTGGCTTCCAAGCCTGACACTGTCGTTTTCTTCTCTCTTTCCAGACTTCAGTTCCAGTGCGACCAGTTCAAACAATCCAGCCCCGTCTGATTGTTACCCCAAGAACCAGCACCTCCGTGCTTGCCACCAGAAAATTGATAACAACTTAGGTGAGTCACGACAGTCCCCGTTCCCCAATGTTAGTCCTAGTTGTTTGCAGGCAGTACTTGTCTTAGGATCACAATTGAGCCCCAAATTTCCATTGCTAAACAAGACTGCTAAGTGAGTTTTGCCCAATTTTATGACTTGCCAAGTGAATTAAGGCTCGCACCTTTAAGACACTGCAGTTGATAAGTTAGTAACCTGCTTGGTTATGAGGGACGCGGTGGCTCAGTGGCTGAGATGCTGAGTTTGTGGTCAGAAAGGTCGGCAGTTTGGTGGTTCGAATCCCTACTGCCACGTAATGGAGTGAGCTCCCGTTACTTGTCCCAGCTTCTGCCAACCTAGCAGTTCGGAAGCATGTAAAAAATGCAAGTAGAAAAATAGGAACCACTTTTGGTGGGAAGGTAACAGTGCTCTATGCGCCTTTCTGATCGACAAGCTCAGCGTCTTAGCCACTGAGCCACTCCATCCCTGGGCTGTGCCAAAGCCTCTTTTAATTTAAACCAAGGGAATCCCATGAATAGCCTTGGATACAAACTGCCTCACAAACACCTCTGTGTTTTTGTCTACCTCTTGTGTTGCTAATTTTATGTCTTTGTGGGGGGGTGGATCTTTACAGATGACATGTCCTCCGGGCTGGGCCGACTGAAAAACCTTGCTCTGGGCTTGCAAACTGAAATCGATGAGCAGGATGAGATCCTTTATCGCCTCACTGGGAAAGTGGATGCCTTGGACATCAACATCAAACGCACAGACAAGCGAATCAAGGATGAGCTTTAAAGAAACCTATTTGTCTCTCACCTCTTGTTTTTAAACTCAATATATTTTATGCAGCTGGAGGGGAGGGGGGCTTTTCTTGCCCCGCTGCATTGGGGAAGCGCTAGAGCAAAGAGGTTGCTAGTCCCTCTTGCCGTGTGATTAAAATTGTGAAATAGCCTTGAAAGTGCAATCTGAGAAATTTAAGCTACTTTCTTTCACGTTTAATTCATAAAAGCACTCTGAAGCGTTGTCTTCTGGGACTTCTGATTTTGGAGGAAACATCTCAGTTCTTGGACAATGATTGGAGAGGACAATTTATACCCTGCCTTTTCAGTATTTCTTTCGCCTTAATTGTAGCAGGTACATTTAATTAATTGCTGCCTCCTTCCCTTACTGCTCGTGTGTACATTTTCACAAAAGGCTAGCTCCGTATAGTTGAAGGACTGCATAAGAGGAAAGTTTGCCTTAACATTTCAAATGCTGGGTTGTGACAAGATGCTTCTGGTGCACACCCTCACCCCGACCCCAAACTTAAGCTACACCAATAAAGCAGTCATCATCAAGTCAATTGTTTATTCCAGTCAAAGGACCAGAGCAAGTTAAAAACACTTAAGGAATATCGAGTTAAAAATTTCTAGAACGAAATAATCTCTCTTAAAAATCTAGTCTTCCATTTTCTGGTGCATGCGTGCGTGGTAGTAACCAGAAAACTTGCTGGCCGTTCCNATGATTAAATGCAGAGCTCTTGCAAGGAACTTCCTCTTTCTTGTAGCTTCCTCTTTCAGTAAGTGCTCACGTGTTTGTCATTTCGTGTCTTGCTACAAGAGGTTTAGTAGATTGTCACTATTTCATTAAGTAGTGAAATATTTAGAATACATTGAAATGGTAGTAAATATGGAATGTTGATAATTTTGCAAAATGGGATGTTATTTTTCATGGGAGAAAGAGCCTGCTTCAAGTTGTGTAAGTGTGGCTCTGTCAACATGCTCTGATGATAGTTTATACTTATTTTGAAAGTTTTGAACAAATCTTTCTTGGCTTTGGGACTGAAAACTGAGACTTGTACATACCATAATAACATTTCAATGAGAGATCTAAAATAAGATATTGTGAATAGGCAATAAATTGTTCATAGGTTGTTTTTTATTGTTGTGCTGTTTGTTGTTTTTTCTATTTTAGATGCCAGTCTATTGACTAAGATATTCTGGGTCTTGAGTCATTCAATAAGAGGCAAGTAATTATTTGATTGCCTAGAACAGAATGTCTTGGGCCTTCCCTAAGAATGGCATTGGTGTTGACTTTTTCCGTTTCCAACATGGCTTCAGCTACACTAGTTGCAAAAAAATGCCCACAAAGCAGTTTCAGGATTCTTGGAAAGATGAATTGTCTGTTAGAGAGAACAGAAGGACTTGTGGCTCAGCTGATAGACTTTGAATTTCCTGAAATAATGGTTTTTGTTTTTCATAACCGAATAAACAATTTCTCTTTGGGCAAATTAGAAGATAGATGGAACATATATCAGGGTTCCAAGTACCACCCCCTCAACGAAAGAAGACTCTGAGGCTTGAATTTCCTCCAAGTTCCACTTTATTAGAGATGTCATATTGGTACATCTGGGAAAACCCGAATCTGAAAGTTGCCAGGTTTTCCCCACCCGTGAAAGTCTATGCCCCTGCCCAGCAATCCCATGTCCATCGCATGGTCCAATCAGGCACCATCCAAAACTGGAGATGCCTCCCAGTCCCACCACTCAAGTGCAGGGCAAGATGTCCTTGACTCTCTGAGAAAGGAATGTTATTTAGACCAGTGGTCTCCAACCTTGGCAACTTTAAGACCTGTGGACTTCAACTCCTAGAGTTCCTCAGCCAGCTTTGCTGGCTG